AGGTATATATAGGAGGAAGGAGTACGTCGGTGGAGCGTCAGGGGGCCCACGAGGTAGGGGGGCGCGCCCAGGGGGGCGCGCCCTCCATCCTCGTGACCTCCTCGGCCACTGCTTGGAGTAGGGTCCAAGTCTCCTGGATCACGTTATGTTGGAAAATCACGATCCCAAAGGTTTCATTCCGTTTGGAGTCCGTTTGATATTTCGTTTCTTCGAAACACTGAAATAGGCAAAAAACAACAATTCTAGGCTGGGTCTCCGGTTAATAGGTTAGTCCCAAAAATAATATAGAAGTGGAAAATAAAGCCCAATATAGTCCAAAACAGTAGATAAAGTAGCATGGAGCAATAAAAAATTATAGATGCGTTGGAGACGTATCAGGCATCCCCAAGCTTAATTCCTGCTCGTCCTCGAGTAGGTAAATGATAAAAAAGAATTTTTGATGTGGAGTGATACTTTGGCATAATTTCAATATAAATCTTCTTAATTGTGATAGGAATATTCAGGTCCAAAAGATTCAAGACAAAAGTTCATATTGACACAAAAATAATAATACTTCAAGCATACTAATCAAAGCAATCATGTCTTCTCAAAATAACATGGCAAAAGAAAGTTCATCCCTACAAAATCATATGGTTAGGCTATGCTTCATTTTTGTCACACAAAGATGTTCCCAACTTCTATACCCCCGAAGACAAGCCAAGCAATTGTTTCATACTTAAATAATCTCAAACTTTTTCAACTTTCACGCAATACATGAGCGCGAGCCATGGATATAGCACTATGGTTGGAATAGAATATGATGATGGGGATTGTGTGGAGAAGACAAAAAAAAGGAGAAGGTCTCACATTGACGAGGCTAATCAATGGGCTATGGAGATGCCCATAAATTGATGTCAACATGAGGAGTAGGTATTGCCATGTAACGGATGCACTAGAGCTATGAATGCTCAACAAAAGAAAACTAGTGGGTGTGCATCCAACTCGCTTGCTCACGAAGACCTAGGGCATTTTGAGGAAGCCCATCATTGGAATATACAAGCCAAGTTCTATAATGAAAAATTCCCACTAGTATAAAAAGACAACTTATGGGACTCACTATCATGAAGATCTTTGTGCTACTTTGAAGCACAATATATGAGAGTCACTACATGAAGATCAAGGTGCTACTTTGGAGCACAAGTGTGGTAAAAGGATAGTAGCATTGTCCCTTCTCTATTTTTCTCTCATTTTTTTATTTGTTTGGGCCTTTCTCTTTTTTTTATGGCCTCTTTTTTTCGTCCGGAGTCTCATCCCGACTTATGGGGGAATCATAGTCTCCATCATCCTTTCCTCACTTGGGACAATGCTCTAATAATGATGATCATCACACTTTTATTTTTCTTACAACTCAACAATTACAACTCGATACTTAGAACAAAGTATGACTCTATATGAATGCCTCCGGCGGTGTACCGGGATAGTGCAATGAATCAAGAGTGACATGTATGGAAAATAATGTATGGTGGCTTTGCCACAAATACGATGTCAACTACATGATCATGCAATGGCAATATGACAAAAGTAATGTATGTCATGATGATGATGGTGGAAGTTGCATGGCAGTATATCTCGGAATGGCTATGGAAATGCCATGATAGGTAGGTATGGTGGCTGTTTTGAGGAAGATATAAGGAGGTTTATGTGTGATAGAGCGAATCGTATCATGGGGTTTGGATGCACCGGCGAAGTTTGCACCAACTCTCAAGGTGAGAAAGGGCAATGCACGGTACCGAAGAGGCTAGCAAAGGCGGAAAGGTGAGAGTGCGTATAATCTATGGACTCAACATTAGTCAAAAGAACTCATATATTTATTGCAAAAATTTAGAAGCCATCAAAAAAATTTAAGTACTACGCGCATGCTCCTAGGGGGATAGATTGGTAGAAAAAGACCATCGCTCGTCCCCGACCGCCACTCATAAGGATGCACAAGCCAGGTACACTCTATGTTTCAGATTTGTTACACAACTTTACCCATACGTGCATGCTACGGGACTCGCAAACTTCAACGCAAGTATTTCTCAAATTCACAATTATCAACTAGCACGACTTTGATATTATTACCTCCATATCTCAAAACAATTATCAAGCATCAAACTTATCTTAGTATTCAATTTACTCAAAAGAAAGTTTCACATGTCTTGAACACTAAGTAAATTAACATTAAGCAAATTACCATGCTATTAATGACTCCCAAAATAATCTAAGTGAAGCATGAGAGATCAATAGTTTCTTTAAAACAAATCCACCACCGTGATCTAAAAGATATAAGTGAAGCACTAGAGCAAAAATTATCACGCTCAAAAGATATAAGTGAAGCACTATGAGCAAAACTATCAAGCTCGAAAGATATAAGTGAAGCACATAGAGTATTCTAACAAATTCCAATTCATGTATGGCTCTCTCAAAAGATGTGTACAGCAAGGATGATTGTGACATACTAACAAGCAAAGATGCAAATAATACAAGACGCTCCAAGCAAAACACATATCATGTTGGTGAATAAAAATATAGCTCCAAGTAAATTACCGATGGAAGTGGACGAAAGAGGGATGCCTTCCGGGGCATCCCCAAGCTTTGACTTTTTGGTGTCCTTGGATTATCTTGGGGATGCCATGGGCATCCCCATGCTTAGGCTCTTGCCACTACTTGTTCCATAATCCATCAAAAGAATTCACCCAAAACTTGAAAACTTCACAACACAAAACTCAATAGAAATCTCGTGAGCTCCATTACAGAAAGAAAACAAAAGACTACTTCAAGGTATTGTAATGAACTCATTCTTTATTTATATTGGTGTTAAACCTACTGTATTCCAACTTCTCTATGGTTTATAAACTATTTTACTAGCCATAGATCATCAAAATAAGCAAACAACACACGTAAAACAGAATCTGTCAAAAACAGAACAGTCAGTAGCAATCTGTAACTAACGCAAACTTCTGAAACTCTAAAACTTCTACCAAAATAGGAAGTCCTGGAAATTTTTTTTATTGAACAGCAGCAAAAAGAATCAATGCAAAAGGACTTTTATGTGATTTATCATAACTAAATTCGTGCGCGCAAAGTTTCTGTTTTTCAGCAGAATCAAATCAAATATCATCGTAGGTTATCATATAGGTCCTACTTGGCACAAACACTAATTAAAACATAAAACCACATCCAAACAGAAAGCAGATGGATTATTTATTCCTAAACAGAAGCAAAAACAAAAAACACAAAATAAAATTGGGTTGCCTCCCAACACTACAAGGATCCGGGTCTATTGCAACAAAAAAATTTGTTGCAATACATGCTGTTTCGTGGCGATAAGTACCTATTGCCACGAAACGACATTCGTTGGCAGCCGTTGCAACTGGACACATGGTAATACGTTATTACCACGAAAAGGCAATTGTGGCAATAAAGTGTGCTATTGCAACATTCATGCGGGAACTTGCCACATGTTTTCCCGTGGCAACACTCACCTGATGCCACAATTTGCTTTGTGGAGATAGCTTTAATGCAACATGTACCAAATTGTGGAGACTGATATGTCGTGGCGATAGACATTTGTGGCAACAACCTATGCCAACGACGGCCATTTCATGGCGCATTACTCTTTCGTGGCAATAATCAATTGTGGCAACAAACTATGGCAACAATCCTCATTTTCGTGGTATCAGGCATGTTGCCATGATCCAATATACTTGTGGCAATAAACTATGGCAACAATTCTTGTTTTCGTGGCATTAGGCATGTTGCCACGACCCACTGCGCTTGTGGCATTAACCTATGGCAACAAATATTTCAATTGTCGTAACAGGAAATTGCAACGTACTTCTTTTGATGGTGACAAATAGGTATCACAACAAGTAACATCTTTGTAGCGAGAAATTATTGCGACAATTTAAACTTTCCGTGGTGATACTCTATTTCAACAAACTTACTTTGGTGGCGCTAAACTGTTATCGCATCATGAAATTTTTTGTGGCGCGAAGCTATTACAACAATATAAAGTGCTCCGTTGCAACATTCTAGTGCAACAAAACAGATAGGCGTAGCAACTGAGATATGATGCAACACTATATTTTTAGTGGTGCTAGCATGTGGCAACCAAAAAAGGGTTGTGGTAATAGTCTATTGCAATCGTAAAAAAAATTACTGGGTTTTAATTACAATATTCAAAACCATACGTATAATATGTAGATTCATACAATTCATACTTCTGATAGAAAATATCTATCAAATAAAACAAATGTAATTTAGCCATCCTAATTAACTTCGAAGACTAAACTGCCCATGATCTAGAGTCCAGTCCAGCTAGTTCTTTGGATCCTGCAATCAAGAAATAAAAAAAGTTCTAGTTAATGAGTCAAACATAACATACGCCATACAATTATGCCAGCTCCATTCTTAAAAACTATTGCCAGACTAACTAGCTAATACTGTGTCAGCAAGCATGTAACTAAGGCATCAGAACAACTATACAAGTGTGAATGGCTAAGGCATAACCTAAAGTACATCTACTAAAAGGTTTTTTTTTTTGAGAAAAAAACATTGCTTTTAACTTAATGGTGTTGGGCTGAATCACCCAAAACACAGAGCAGCCACAAGGGCTAGTACATCGGCCCCCCATTCCAGTTAGGTTCTAACATCCTATCAAGACTAGCAAGCTCATGAGCAACAAAGTTTGCCGAGCGACGACATACATTTATTTCATAATAAGAAAACCATAATATGAGCGGGTACTTGGTATCCTCAATAACAGCAGCATAGGCCGACGAGTCCACCTTATTGATATTAAGTGCTTCCATCAGGAGTTGCGAGTCCGTTTAAAAAACGACCCTCACGACCCCTATATCAACAGGAAGAGATACTACATGGGACATTGCAGTGGACTCATCAGCGAAGGCATCATGCGCATGATCATGACATCCTGCTCGTGCATACAGAATGGTACCATCGTCTGATCGTACATCTACTCAAAGCTCCTGCTATTGATTTAAGTTATGACTAGATGTATAGTTTCAGTTAAGTTCATGTCCCTAGCTAGCACATATTTGTATTTTGTTTAAGTTGTGACTCGATGCAGCAACAACACATGGTAAAAGAGAAGCAGCTAGCTAATTATGAAGACCAATGACATATAAAATGCAGGTGAACATGAAAAGAAAGCAAGGTTGTGACTTACCATTGCTTTATACATTCGAGATTGCCTTGCTACAGCTTGTATGAGCGCATTTGAAGAAATAGCAGTCGGCGTTGAACCTGGAGTCTTATTAGGACTAGATGTCTGTGAAAGAATATTTTGCAAGTTTGGATTACTATTTTCTTTGTCAACCCTCTTCGTAGGAACCTGTAAATAGAAGTTCATTTTTAGCAATGCAAGTAAGCAACATAAATCTTACAAGATCAGAAGCATATGACTGTAATCACCATCACCTGTTGGGTTTCCATCTGTTTGCTCAATTCTACAAACTTTGCCATCATGTTTTTTTCAAATTTCAGTCTTGATGTTCGCTCTTCTTGCAACAATCTTTCCCTTTCAGCACGCTCTTCTTTTAACCTCTCCTCAAGTTGTTCTCTCTCAGCACGCTCCAAGTTAATCCTCTCTTGTGTGTTAGTACGTTCAGCTTGTAGTTGATCTTCTAAGTCATTGACCTGCTAGCTGAGCTGAGAGTTTCGCTCCTGGGTGGCTGCTGTAGCACGAGCTTGCTCTTCAATCTGGATACAAAACTTTTCAGAACCAGATGAAGTTTTGGCCATGTATCCGTACCCACGAGGCTGTGATGACTTGCATTCCAGAGTGTCTTTGTAAGCGGTCTGGAAAACATTATTTTTCTGCTCACTTGAAAGTGGACCTTCAGTTTCAGCTTCTTTGTTTTTAACCTCTTCAAGTGCTTGGTCCTAAAAATGATAGGAACAATTATAGGTGCAGCATCAATATTGACACTAAAAGATGAAACAAGAATAACACGGTCCAACGCATGAATAATCGCATCTGATGATGAAACATGCCGAATGCACACAATTGACTAACTGTAGAATAACCAAAAGTCAGTGTACTCACGTAAACTTTCTGGGAATCTGTGTTAGACCATGTTCCATTGTTTGTGTGGGTGAGTTCCCATAGAGCAATACAATCCGGCTCTTCTCCAGTTTCTAAGTTTCTCTGCAAGTAATATAACAATGAGATGCTTGAAACATGACACCATATTTAGCAGCAAGGCATACATATTTAATTGGACTCGTACTTTCTCAAAACTAACTTGCGAGTAAGATTTTGATCCGATTATATGTTTTGTCTTCTGTTTCTTATGGTTATCAGCGTTCTTTTGGCTGCGTTCCTATCAATTCATTGAAACCAGATATAACCAATGAGACTAGCCATTTCACCTTAACACATAATAGACAAACCGTGATCTTAGAGATAACCTGAAATTTTGAATCAGTGCCAAAGTAATCAATCATCCATTCCCACTTTTCTGGTTGTAAATCTTCAGGCAGATTAGCCAATCTAGCTGCATCTGTTTTGTATGCCTTGTAAGTGGAGCTTAGAGTTGATCGCCAGCCTCTATATCTCTCTTTCGCAATTTTGAGAACTTTTTCTTCTGTTTCTGGTGTATCTTCCAGGTCCCATCTGTCCTGTAAAGCATACAACAAATAAATATACATAAGCAGTGCATTATCGATGGTAAAATAAGATAACACATGTGAAAAATATTGTACGCACTATTATATTTGCAACAATGAGTCGATGAATGGTAGGGTGAATGTCCGACCACGTCCTCACTCCAATGAGTGGTAACTTTCTTTTCATTATGACTACCACGTCATCCTTGAACGAACGATAGTTCATTCCTACTGTACCACCCAATTTTTTAGAGAATGTAATATTTAGCTTTGCAGATCCATTGGCAAAACGCTTCTTAGATGCTTTAAAACCTTTTAGAACACCTCGCCCTTTCTTCTTCTGTCCACCAGCTTCTACAGCCCAAATCATACAAGAAAAATTGTATTACTCAGCATTAGATTGTAAGAAATGATGACACAAATGTAAACGAAAGCAAGTACCATCCTGTAATCGCGCACGGTTGCGGCGAGCATGGGATGGCCATTCAGCAAGGGAACACATGTCATTAGCAGACACTGGAATGTCAGATTGTTCTGGAGTTGCTGTAAAAGATTTAGTAGTCTTGAAGGTTTAGCTATTTAACCCACACCAAGATTTTATGCATTATAGGAAATGCTAAATAATTTACCAGATTTGGGTTGACCACGTTGGTTTTTGTATGCCGTTATACTTTCCATCCTTGTTAAGAGAACAGAGCCTTTCTTTACTGCACACAAAAACAATCATGGGACTTAGCATTAACAAAGCATTGATGTTCTGCACCATTCAGATAGGTGATTATGAAGTAAGGATGTTGTGTACCAGGAGCATCCTCCGTAAAATTCATCATTGTGCCCTTGTGTGGGTAAACCAGACATATGTGAATGAACATGAAAGGCAAAGTATCAGTGATAGGTTCATGAATATACTACTCTGAATCTATAGGAAAAAAATGCAATGTGACTCGTGTAAGACCAAATATCTATTAAAAATCAGCTTATAGTAATCTGAATCAAATGCAATGCAGATGATGACTAAACCTGAATCCTCTGCTCTGTTGACGCACATATAACATCTAATATATGACATTATGTCTTAAAATGTGTTGAAAGAAACTCATCTCGATCTACGCTAATTGCTAAAAAATATTTATAAGAAAGTGACTGTAGGATGTATAAGAAGAAACCAGAGTGTAAGAATGTGGATTTATTTTAGGCAAGCCGGATAGTATTACATCGAAAGCTAATCAACCTGATTCAGATATAAGAATTAATGTTGTATGCAGAGTGACAATGACGGTGATGGTAGGATTCTAAGTGTAATGTAAAGATTCAGACTGAACCCAGGGGGGAAACAAATGTAAAGTGGATCATGAAAGCATCCATGTATGTAGAAAAAAACCTGGTATTTGGCACCATTATTAGTTGGGGGATTGAACTCAGAAAGCCGGCACTTATCTAATAAAAATGCAAGCTAGCTAGCTTTGCACATACAGATTACAGAGTATGTCTATATCTTTCAGTTAATGGATCTAATGCTCAAAAACCAATCTAATGCTCACGACCCCCTTTGGCGTCCACGAGGAAACAGAGCGAACCAGGAGCAGAGATGGTGGAGAGGCCTGCAGGCACCTCGGGCACGCTGGGGTCGGGTGCGGCAGTAACCAGCGCCTGGCCACCATGTCACGACGCCGGCGTGCACAGCCGAGACGGCTGCGGCCATGAACCGGGCCGGGAGGCCCCGTCGAGCCCCAGTTCAAGGCCGAGGCGAGCTCCATGGCGGGCAGCCTCCAGGCCAAGGTGAGGCGCTGCGCCGACCCTCCAGGCCGCGAGCGCCTCCGCCGAGGCGGCCAAATCGAGGCGCGATGGGAAAATGCCACCGGCGGCGGCATGTCCCCTGCCCTGACTTCTTTTCTACGGCCAAGCGGCGAGCGGAGGAGAGAAGGCGCAGCCCCTCTGAATGGATCAGGATCGAGAGAGCCGCGCATCGATGAGGAGCTCGTGGGGGAGGGGGGTTTGATCCCGGACGGAGGCGGGCGCAGAGGAGAGGGGGGAGGGGGAGATCGAGGAGGACTGGATTTTTCAGCGATGGAGGAGATCGGGAGGAGGACTAACCTGACGCCGTGCACCTGACGTGGTTCGCTCTGTTGACGCCGTCATGACGCCGGCAGCACAGATGAACCGAGACGAGAGCTCAGATCCAATCGCCCGTGAAGACGCCGTCGTTTGGTCTAGAATTATATATTCATGGGTTGTTAGAAAGGTATTTAGCGGGAAGCTAATTTTTTGGTGGGAACAAAGACGCTAATTTGGGACCTTTTAGCGGGAGGTTAAAAAATATTGGCGCAAAAAACAGTACACCTAAATTAGGTGGTGGGAAAGTAACTCTTTCTGTTTAAAAAAAGTAATTAGTTTTTAGGTAATTTTCTAGGTTGTAAATATATTTCGAGATGGAGGGAATACTAAAATGTTTTGAAGACTTGCCATGTAAATGAAATGAAAAAGAATGCAAATTTGCCATGGCACAAACATACTACATGTTAATTGACATGGCAAAATTACCTGGGTGGATTTGCAGTAGTAAGTACAAAAGCAAAATCAAATCTCTTAAAAGTTGCAATGCTTAATGTGGTCATCATCAATCCTACAAAGTCAAAAAAAGGGAAACAAACACATATTTCTACAATCAACTCAAATTTGTTTTTTTTTACTACTCCATGTGAACATGGCCAAAGTTGTAGTGGTGACATGGCGAAAACTATATTAGAGGCATGGCAAACAGATTAGCAAATTTGCCATGGTAAAAAAAAATGTGTATGTCATGCCAAAAGTTATAGTGGTGACATGGAAAAAGCTATATTAGAGGCATGCCAAAAGCTATAAAATCCTTTTTGCCATGGCAAAACAGTGTTCAACAATATATACTTTTGATTCATGGCAAAATCTAGAGAAAATTCGATTCATGATTCATTTCAAAGCTAGAGTTTGTATGTACTGATCACATGGCAAGTTTACAAAATTTGCACTACAGACTAAATACAGGAGGACAAATGCCATGGCAAATTACTGAATATAATTCTCGCAGGAGGACAAACAACACTAAACAGTGCTAAACACTACACACTAGTTGCCAATTTGCCATATTGTACTAAATATCATGTTCTACACAATTTGCCATGCTCAAAAGAAACTATTCCAGAAAAAATATTGTCAAGATGTACCCAATGTGTACCCATGTGAACCAGAAATCTAAAGTCAAACAAATTGGCATGTCACTACTAAACAAATTCCCAAGTCACTGCTAGACAACATAAAAAAAAGGGGACACATGATCTTCTCCATCAATAGTCTAGCAATTCCTGTTTCAGTGCAATCAGTGTATGATGTGCTACCGAACAACTAAAAAGGAGTTCATTCTTATTTTGCATATTTGTCTATCATACATTTGCTCTCCTAAAGTTTTAGTAATATCCAATACCTTCCCACGTAAAGCTGTTGATGAAGGACGAGGAGATCAAGGACTCCAGAATTGATCTGACTGAGGCAAGAAACCTGAAGTGAACACCGGCCCCCTCTGCTCGATGCACATATCCTATCCCCGATACTCCCACTCCCTGTACAACAAAAGTGCAAAGTTTCAGTGTACATTGAGCTGAACCTGAACCATTCTTTGTGACGAAACTTCCTGTTCTAACTAAATCTGCACGCATGTGCTCTGCTGTTGTGCTCGTCCCAGGTCAGTAGCAGTAGGAGAGCTCAGCTAACGGCAAGGCACATGAGCACAGCTCGGGCGGCTACTAGGAGGCGGCGGAATACCTGGGCTCGGGGTGAATCCCGGCGAGCAGTTCACCATCCGCACATCACTAGAAGAAAACGGCGTCCCCGCCGGCGAGCAGATCCCCATTGGCGCATCGGCGAGCAGCTCGGCTGCGAGCCGCAAGGCCTCGTCCACCTCCTAGTTGACCTCCATGAAGCGCCGCGGCGTCAGCGTCAGCACCTCCGCTGCTCTCTCCCTCCGCGCCCCGCCTCCTCGAACAGTACCTCCATTGCTTCTCCCCCTTCCGCGTCCCGCAGCCTCGTGCGCCACCAGGCCCCGCCTCCCGGTGTAGGATGACGGCGCCGCCGCTTCAGCTGGTTGCCATCGCCTCCCTCGCGCCCAGGGCCTCGCGGACATCGCCATCGCCGCCGGGTTGGAGGTGGGCGCATCGCAGGGATGGTGCAGGCAGCGTCGCCCCGAGCGCGGCGGCCTGGTGCTCGCGGCGGCGCTCGGCCTCGAACCGCGACGGCGCCTCGCTCCGGTCGGCGAGGAGCTGAGTCGTAGCGCGGCAGTACCTGGTGCTCGGCTGTAGCGAACGCCAAATCCCTGGCCCCCTCCGCGGATCCCTCGTCGTCGTCGTCCTCGACCCCTGCCGCCGCGACTGTGGCGGGATCTGGTCAGGGAGGAGCCTCGTCGCCGGCGAAGGCCACTCCTGTCTGTATTGCGTGGCGGAGACAGAGCAGTGTGCTCTGAGCGGTGGAGCAAGGGGAGAAGAAGATAGGATTGATGCTGGCGTTCGGGATGAAGCCTGTTTTAGGGACGCGGCTAATCTGTACCCGAGCTTATATGCTCCCGTATGAATAGTAAAATCGAAAAAAAATCAAAAAATTTAAAAAATTCCAAATTTTTTTTGAGAGAAACATTGACAAAAGTTCTAAGTGCCTGCAAAAATTCATCATGAAATCACATTCCTAGAAGGCGTGGCAAAAAAAACAAAAATAGTATTCTGAAAAAGCTACTTTCAAACGCATTTTGAAGCACTGAATTTGTTTTTTTTGCCACGCCTTACAGGAATGTGATTTCATGATGAATTTTTGCAGGCACTTAGAACTTTTGTCAATGTTTCTCTCAAAAAAATTTGGAATTTTTTGAATTTTTTTTGAATTTTTTTCAATTTTACTGTTCATGCGGGAGCATATGAGCTCGGGTGCAGAATGTACTTTTCGCTGTTTTAGACTGATTTACCGAACGAAAACAAAACGTGACGTGTCGGACCTCAGTTGCTATGAGATTCGTGCCTGTAATCAATGGCACAGAGATTCTAAATTACGGGTCTTTCAGGAGTTATAGATTCCGAAATTTATTTGTAAAAAGTTATATCGTGGTGAAAAAAACAGCAAATCCGAGAATTGTGAAGGGGCGATCCGACGCCATCCTCTTCTCATCGTCGATATTTGTATAGCTGTCGCCATTTGAAGTAGCCAATTAACGAACGAAAAAGAGTTTCTCCGTTTATATTGTAAAACAATCATCACATACATCGAAGCAACCGATACAAACGGACGCTGCATATATCCAAGACAAGATACACGAATACCGGGCATGGACACATAACCTCAACGAGTACCAAACACCTATAAAATGTGCAAAAAAAGAATCACTTAGTGCCCGACGGAGACCACTGAAACCTCATTTAATATTGAGATTTATCGTCTTAGGAATGTGTTGTTTCATCTTGGATCTGCACTTAGGTTGGGATATGTCAAAAATTTGTGCCTTGGTCAGTTGGTCAAAGTAGCAAAAAATGGCTAGTTTAGAACTACAGGTCACGGAAACCTCATGCGATCCTCACTTTAAACTATTAGGTTATACTCTTGTCTCGAAACGTAAGTACTGATGGGATGGGTTGATGAGACAGTCGATCTATGTCGGTCTCGGTATAAAATTCCGATCTTGAGATGGGGTGATCTCAGCATCGTTCATCTTATCGGACAATCCGTGGAGGGTTCGTCCAAGCCAGAGTAGGTCGAACATAATTATGTCGCTTTTGTTCAAATGATAATCATAGAGATTCAACTATGTAAATCAAACAAC